CGGTTACACACAACACACACGGATACACACGCACCCGACAGACACACACGCGGTTACACACAACACACACGGATATACATGCACCCGACAGACACACACACGCGGTTACACACACACACACTGACAGACTAGGTGTCTGATCCTTGGACAGAGCTCCTTTCTATCCAGCGGAAAGGAGCCTTCTGTAAGACAGTTCTACCCATCAGAGCACAGTTCTTTACCCAAACGAGGAGGGTGCGAAGCTCAGGGGAGACGGCACCCTGACAGTGAGTTTCTGGCGGCCCTCTGCTTATCTGTGTGGGTGTAACATGCTTGAGGAGCCGCTGGATTTTACCCAAAGGCCAGACTCCCATCCTAAGCAGGGCCAGGCCATCCCTGTGCTAATTCCTGATTCTGTCCCTGTTCCTAACGGGCCCCGAGCATTCCCCAGCATCTTGGTTCCAAACCTCAGCTGAGTGAGTTGGCGCCTGAGACATCGCCACGGATGGAAAATCCCGTCCCAAGGTGTTTGTGTGGGGGCAGCATGTGGGCTTGAGAAAATACAGGGTGTGAGGCCGTGCACGCGGCCGCGGCCTGCAGGACCCAGCACAGGGGCGGCCCAGCAGGTCGTGTGGCGCAGCGGGGCATGCACACCACGCACGTCATGAGCGGCCTAGAAACTTTCGTCTGTAGCTTTGGTTCCCTTCAGAAGTGCCAGTTAGGTGCATTTACGAAGCACGGACAAAGTTCGATGTGTATATTTAACTGTGGTTTTCTTGTCAGGTAGGGAGCACCGGTTAATCCGTGTGAAAAGTTGTACTTGCCTGCAGTGAACAATTATTGGACAAGAACGGCCCCTGTAGCACTTGTTTACTTTTCTGAAATAAAAAGAGACAGAAATCATGGTTATGCACTACGACTCTTATGTCTTGCAAACTAACTCTTAAGCCAAAACAAATAGACCGTATCTTTGACATCATTTTGCAATAAGAGCCTGTTTTGACAAAGAAAATCAAAATTACACACACATTTTCAAAGGTTTATTTTTCTTTTCAATATTAAATGATCAGACAGAGCTTTAAAAACAATTTTTACATTTCCGCAATTTCCCTTTCCCTTTCCAAGCGAGAACCCGGGGCTTCCGACACCAGCCCGTCCTACCCCTCCGTCTGCGGCTCCACTCAGCTGACTGGCTGGTTGTGACATGAAGATCTAGGTTCTTTGCTAAAATGTTTGAGTTTTGCAATTTATGCTCAACATTTCTTACATTCTAGACATCATACTGGAATATAATATTACTCTATTGTCTCAAAACAGCATCTTACAGGTCCTTCTGGATCTGTCCATTTGGTCGGAGTTCTAAATTGCGGAGTTGAGGCAAGCCCTTCCTTTGTATAAATCTGCACACGTTTACAAACAACTCTGTTGTGCAGATTTTAGACCAGAATTTATGAGAATTAACAATAAGCATAGATTATTTTGTACTCAAGCCCTAAGTCAAAACAAAGCTCTGATTTCAAATCCTGTGATTTATATCAGCTCCAAATTTGTTGAAAATCAGTGAAACAACTAAGCGTGTTTACAAAGTGCATCAGATTTTTCAGTAAAATATTTCTGAGTAGAGAAAAGTCAATGAAAAAATGTGTGAGGGGCCGTGTTCTAAAATGCTCCCTACGAATTTCCACAATGAATAGGACATGAAGCTAAATTTAAAATGAATGACAGTGCAGAAATAAAAATCTTTTTCCTTGCACCGGACATGGGAAAACATCACACATCTTGGCAAAGTCTTGCCTGCCCAGCAGAGTCAGCTGGAAGCTCATATTCTGTTAACTGGTGGCCTTGCCTCGAAACCCCAGAGCCGAGGGGTCGGGAGGCGGGGACGGGCGTGGTGGGCAGAGGGAGGTGACGGCCCGTGCAGGTGCCCAGCGGGTATTTCCATGTCTGCCCCCAGAGCAGAGCCCAAACAACACGGGGCGGGGTGGGGGGGAGCCACACCCGAGCCCACCAGGGCAGCTGTGATTGGTGGCTGCCTCCTGCAGCATGTGGAGCTTGCAGAGCACCCAAAATGTCTTAAAAATGAGAAGACCCAGAAACATGGGTAGAATAAGCCGCTCAGGGTCCCTATGGCCACGTTGCTATTTCTGCTGGACTTTTTCTTACTTTCAAGGTCCACTGCAGTGTGAGGGGTTAGCGGGAAGGTGAAGGAAGTAGGAGTGAACTCATTAAAATCAATGGTGGGCCAGAATGCCCCAAAGGTTCTTGGGCCTTTGAGAATAAAACAGACTGGAAAATGAATCGACTAATATCTCCGTCTAAAACCTCCCATTCTTTGGGGCGCCTGGCTGGCCCAGTTGGTGGATGTGTGACTCTTGATCTCAGGGTCTTGAGTTCGAGCCCCAGGCTGGGTGTAGAGATTACTTAAAAAAAAAAAAATTAAGAAAAAAAAATCTTAAAACTCCCATTCTTGACTCAGGTTGTAAAGGCAACATGAGCTTTAGATCTGACAAAATAAATGCCAGACTCCCAGGATGTACCTCAGCGTGAGCGACGTGAGGCCCACCAGCTCCAACAAGGTTGTGTGTGGGCACGCTCGCCCTGCTTGTGCAGTGTGTGTACACACTGTGTGTGCGTGCGTGCGTGTGCAGAATCAAGCAAGCTCAGGGTCAGACTAGATTTAGGGAGGCTTTATTCCTATAGGCCTTTTACTTTCAAACAGAAGACTTTACTAGAAATCTCTTGGTCGCTGAATCTTTTAGATGTGAACCTCCAACAGTCTGTGATAGTTCATACTTGGTAGTCCAGGCTCAACGTTTGCCTGCTCACATACTGCTCAATCACCAGGTTTTGGGCATTTTTTCTGATGGGGCCAAGCACAAAAGTAGTACATTAAAAAAAAAAAGAAAGAAATAAACAACCACCGAATTCCCTTGTTTAGACTGTATCAGTTTCAGAAAACCATTACTGTAAGGGGCCAGGAGAACAGGAGTGTCCCGTTTGGGGCTGGTCAGCCCCATTTTTGGCAAAATGCATTAAGAATAACTGCTCTTATAGAAGACTAAAATGCTCTAATAACTGCTTCTGTGGTCCCTGCTCTCCTGTTATTGAATATTTAAAGTATTACTTTCTCCAGCACATTGCGACTGGCTGCCTCAGCAGGACCCAGGGAGGTTTCAATGTGGTTTTAATATCCATGCTGGCCCCGCCCTGGGCTAAACCTATTTACAAACAGCCACGAGCAATCAAGGAGACGCGCAGTGTGAATACAATATGCTGCCACGGTTTAGAATTTTATTTACAAAGAATCACGTGCTTGTATTATTACAACGTAAAACATCACGAATAGAAAAGTAAAAAGCATCACGTAGTCAACAAAAGCGTTCACCTGGTTGACCCAAGATAGAGATGCAGAGTATTCATGAAGATAAGAAATACACAGCTGTCTTGTTTGACTCGATTAGAACAAATCATCAGTCAGCAAAAGGTTGCAAACATTCAGAAAAATGGATATTATATATATTTCAACAGGAGGAATTCACTGAGAAAGAACGATTAGTAATACAAACCAACCCACGGGTCACTGAGTGAGAAGGAACCGTCATGCAACCAACAGCAAACAAAGGTCAGAGGTCGTGAGAGGCTCAGAAAAGGGGCTCCCCACACTGCCCTGTAGCAGAGTCACAGCCTCCAATGATCACTTTTGTGACTATGCAACTGGGCTCATATTACTAGCTGCAACATCACAAAAATGACACTGGCCACCGCTCATTAGCTGGCAAAGTAAGGGTCTGTCCATTTCTACAGGGATCAGCGTTGTGAATGCCGTTGCACACAGCAAGAAGGGAGAAACTCAGAGAGACAGACAGAGAGAGAGAATTTTTAAAAGCAAAGCCCTCACATGTGATGTTAATTATCTCTTGGCTTTTGCAGCTTCTCTTTAAAGTGGAAATGTGCTCCCTCTGGGCTCCAGAAGTATGTAATTACACGTCTCAGTGCCTGACACACCCTGGCCAGAGTGGGGGAAGGCTGGGCAAATGTTCGGGGTCGGGGTCGGGGTGGGGGGAGGGGGGAGACCTGCGCATAAGGTGACCAGTGTCTTCGGAAGCCGAAGCCTCTTTCTGATTGCTGAACTTTGGGTGGCTCTTTTACCTAGAAAACCCCAAAGCGGCAATCCGTGCCTGAGAGTGATGCTCCCAAGAACGTGATCGCTCGCGCCCACTTTCCAGGGAGTGCACCACAGGCAGCCAGGTCTGGAAAACTGGGCGGTACCAAGTCAGGCAAGCCAGCGAAGCTTTTGATTCTAATGGACTTGCAAATTTCAACTGAACAAAAACCTCTGGAGCCTTATCTCCTAAGCCTCTGGGGAAAGGGAACTTCGGGAGTCCGTGTTTCTTCAGGACAGGTTGTAAGCACAGAGGGTTGGTTGTGTATTGTTCAGTTCCATATGTGTATATGGATTTTGGCGTACACCCATATGCATATATGTACAAACACATTGGATGAGCGTAAAGACAGGGGTTGGGATGATCTGCTATCTTTGTAGCCACATCCATTTTGCCAGTAACGGCTGTTTCTCGAAGACTGTATCTCAGGAAATGTGCCCTAGGTCAGATTTTTAGATTGCCTGTCTTTAGACATAAATTTGTATTAAGGAAAGGTATCTGACAGCCAGGACATGGGGGTGGATTGAGAGGGAACTGTGTGTAGTCAGTGCTTTGCGGTGCGTTCAGGACTCGATGCATCGTGCACGCTCGGCCTCTCTGGGCGAGGTCAGCAAACGTGCGCCATGGCTGAGATGCCACATGCGTGTCTCTCCAGGAGCTCTTTCACACGCTATTTGGTCCAAAGAACTATTCAAATAAAAATTCTGTTTTGCTTTTCAAAGTAGACTAAAAGGCAAAAGAAATAGTATCACAGTAACCTTGAGAATGTCTAACACACAAATTCAAGAAATGCAGAGATCAGCCTGAAACCCCACTGTCTCGAGTTACATAGCCATAGACTCAAGGATGGTAACTGTTCGGACACAAATCACTCTGTGATTGGGTACAATGCTGGATTAAGGTGCATTTTATTTCTTAGTTCGTTGTTTTGGATCTCTGTCTGCTTTTGTGATTAGGCAGGTTTCCAATCCATTAAACGTTAAGAGGGGGCTCTACGGAACGGAGAGCTCGGTTATCATGCTGCTCAACGCCTGCCTCGCTTGGTGGCCGCTCATTCTTCACCACCACGCAACAGCCAGTGCTGACCACCGTTATCACCGAATCCAATGGACAATCCAAGCTTCCATCTTAAATTTCCCCCTTTTTTGCCTTGTCAATATCTTCCTGAAAGATGGAGTCCAGCATTCATCTCAACAGTTCAATAAACACACTTTAAAACAAGAGAGCCCCCTGGGCAACTGGCTGACCGGAGCGTGAACAAAGACTGGATGTTTCCAGACTGTCAGTTTCAAAACTGCACTAGACTACACAGTCATGTGCTACTTCCATGCAGGCTCTCCCCCAAGGTCTAAGGTCACCCGGGCTGGAATCTGGCCCCACACCTGTTACATCTCATTATCCTGTCCAACCAGATAGGATCCAAACTAAAAATCTGCCTTTTCCTTATCGATATCCGGTGAAGCATGAACTTCAGGACTCTACCACTTGGAGAATCTTATCAGAAATAATGACCGCATTTCCACGATTCTAAGGTATCTATGTTCCCCCCCACCCTTTTTAACTCCTCTAAAACCAGAAAACATCTTGCAGTTAATATGTACCTTTAACATAATCTCCTTCCCCTCGCCTCTCCTATATATAATCATAAATACAGTTGACCCTGGAACAACATGGCTCTGAGCTGCGCTGGTCCACTTACACCTGAGTGTTTTTTTCGATAAATACAGGATGGCACTGAAAATGTATTTTCTCTTCCTTGTGATTTTCTTTTCTCCAGCGTACTGTTATTGTAAGACTACAGCGTATAATACACATACCGTACAAGCTATGTGTTAATTGACTTCTTATGTTACCGGTAAGTCTTCCAGTCAACAGATTATTAGAAGTTACGTTTCGGGGGAGTCAAAAGTTAAACGTGTATTTTCAACTGTGTGGGGGGTTGGTGCCCCAACCCCATGTTGTTCAAGGATCAACTGTATATTTATAATCCATAAATATAAAACAGATGGCGTGTCTCACAGCAAATGGCTTCTTAGACACAGGAAATCTGGTATCAGACAGCGTTCCCTCCTCTCTTATGCCCACACTCTAACACGTTACCCTGCTTAGAGCGCTGTTTGTCATACCTGCGGAAATCCAGGAGGGACCTCGCGGAAGAAGGCACTCCCTGGTCATACCAGCTCAGGAAATGGAACTGGGTCACCGTGCGCGTCTCGTTGGTTTGAAGGTTCTTCAGATAGAAGCTCCTCACGAGGAAATCCTCACACCAGATGTGCTCGGAGACTAGGTTTACCTGGACAGGAGGACAGGGGGCATTGGGACGTAAAGCATTGTCTGAGCAGGGAGCCACTCTGAGCAGCGAAGGGCGGATACTACGAGGACCCCGTGCGGGTCAACAGCGGGATTAATGGCTCCTCCCACCTTCTCAGTTTTAATGGGGTTTATGCAAAAGATAACTGTGGGTTTTTAATGTCACCTAGGTGCATTAGTCAGATTATTAGAAAATTGTGTTACAACCCAAAATGATTCCAGCTTTCATCTTTTATATTTCTAAGCTATCTAAACCTTCAAGAAAAACTATAGTTTGGAACAAGAACACCTGTGGGTTCCACTGTAACTTAGGTTTCACTGCAGGTGGTTATCAACTAGAGGTGGAGAGGAGACCAAAGGAGTCACGCAAATAGCGTGACTCGGTGCTTCTCGGGGCCAAGCCCCTTCTCAGCAGCTCAAAATCCACGACTTTGTGATCTAGGATTCATCTTCACGCTTCCACCATGGGACTTTGGCCTTCTGACTAATTTTTAACGCAAAACAACAGATGCATGCTGGTACGTGTTGAACTGCCCAAGTTGGCGCAGTTCATTGTTAATGTGGGTAGAGAGCCCAGCTAGAGAAAGAAGCTTGCCAGCAGGTGCCCCTCAAGGAAGGTCGAATCTACAGACCCACAGCCCTGAACGCCGCGGGAGGCCACGGTGCAGGCAGGGATCTTCTGACAACAGACCCAGGAAGGGTCTATCACTCGGAGCCTGGCTCAATGGGCCTCCCTGCGAGGTAAATGTGTTTTGGTTCCTTCTGTCTGAATTTGGAATCCTAAAACTTTAAAAATGAAGACCGCACTCTGTATGCCAGAGCCCGAGGTGCCACAGCATGGCTTTTTGGAGGGTGTGGGAGCCTACAGACTGTGGGGCCCTGGGGAAGGGGCCACCTGGGGAGGTGGGGGCACTGCTGTTCTCCGGGGCCCGGCGGGCGGGTGCCTGGGGAGTACCTCGTAGACGTGGTAGAGGTTGGAGCCTTCGTCGGGCCAGTAGTGGTAACACTGCCGGACGCCGTTCTCCGAGAGGGGTGTCAGCATGACAATGACCACGCAGCCACTCTCCCACACCATCTGCAGACAGAGGAAGGCCAGCGGCCACAGCGTGACTGGCAGATCTGTGCGACACGTGCAATGGCCACGCTCAGTGACGCGGGCCCAAGGTGCTCCCGCCCGGACCAACATCTCCTTCATCAGACCCTCTTCCTCCATAGCTGGCTTCCCATCTCTGAATATGCCCCGTAGTCTCCATGGTCCATGCAATACTAAAGACAACCACCAGTGATTCATTCCACACCTCTGAGAACCTCTTAAGACCCACATTCAGCGGTCTCGCTTCCCAACTTTGGATCTGTGAAGGGAGCTTTCTACCATGCTGCACAAACCCACAACATGGGCTCTTACGGAGAGCAACGGCTGGGGTTTCATGTACCTACATGGAATATGGCCATGCTACTCAATGAAAACAGAATTGAGTTAATAATTCATAGCAGCCACATTACGAAGCGTCTCCGAGACATAGCGAACCGATGGCCCACATCCAAATGCGGAGAGGGGGCAGACACCAAGGCCCTCCACGGGATTTCCTCTCAAACACAACTCCAACTTCGTGGCTGTGGACCTGTGTATTAACACTGCAGCATAATCACGAAAACCATGAATTCTATGGGGCACGCTGAGGCGGCACCGCAGACGTGTATTAGCATATTAAATTACAGAGTGAAGAGGAGCCTACTTTCCCCGCAGTGGGTTACGGTGACCTGACAGAAATATTTATAAGCAACTGCATTTAGATGTAAATTTCATATCTAAGAGACCTTGTATTTCTTTTAAATACAGATATAACAATCCAATTAGAATCTTGTCATTTAAAAAAAAAATCCACATAGCTCAAATATAAAATGCGTTTCCTTCAAAGTTCATGTTATTAAATAACCCCCTTTAAGTGATATTTTAAAAAGAGACATGTCCACGGTATTTTCCTCTTTGAATAATGATTTATATTCCTGCGTGATGGGAATAGTCGATGCTTTTATGGCACTGTGCTGTGTCTCATTAATACTGGAATTTCATGGAAACTGCTGGTGTTTATGAAAAAGCCCACAAATAAATATGAATTATGCCCGAACCTATGTGCCTTCATTTTCCTTAGTGCAAAGCCAACCACAAGATGAGAATTCAAAGCATGTGTCTCACGTGCAGCTTTCAGGCTTTGCAGCCTGCCCCACTAAATTGGTCCTTCCAGCACATAACAATTTAATGTGTCTTTAGAAGGTGGAGAAGCTCATTGAAGCCATTACGAAAATGAGGAGAAACAGAGATTTTATGAGTGTAATAAAAATACAATGATCTAGACCATAAACTAATCATCTCACACTCTGCTTGTGCCACCCAAATGTGACATTAGGAAGCTCCTCATTTAAAGAGGAGTCTGCCCGGCCGGGTAGCCCCGTTCATTGGTCTGTGCATGCCGCGCTTCCATTCAGGAGCCCGCCCGGCTCTCTGAAGACTTGGTTAAGATTAAATCCAAATGAAACTTAATTTAAACAAACAATCCCAAAGGCACTCTTGGGGATCATATTTCTTTTTAGGTCACCGTGTCTAAGAGCAGAGAGGGGAATTTAGTAAATCACACAAACAGGCGGCCCCCTTGGGGCCTGTGTGTCCGCTTGCTGGGCGACGGAGCTGTTCCCGCATCGCTTCCCACCTGCAGCCGCTGCGTCACCCACTGGCCTTCATGACACGCCGAGAAGAGTTAATGCGGGTTCTGGTGGGATCCGGGACGCCAGCCAAAGTTCAGGTTAGAAACAGGGACAAGTTTCTCTGTTTCCCCTTCCGTGGCTCCCCCAGCCCTCGGGCAGTACCCAGCTGCAGGAGGGGCTGCTTGTGCGGTTGGTCTTCGGGAAATCCTAATCCTTCTCTTCTGGGAAGCAGCTATATCCACCCAGAGGCCCCACTGAATCTCAGAAGCGAGGCAGTCTGCTGGATGAGTGAGCTAAATGTGTGAATGCCAGAAATGGTGATTTCTAGCACTTTTCTTTTCAGTGTCAGAGACCACGACACGCCTGGTCACCTCCTGGTTTACCGGGCACCTTTACCGAGCACCCAGCACGTCAGGAGAGTCAGAGGTAACTAGAAGTGCCCGCTGAAAGTGGGGTGGGGACCGCGCACCACAGAGCGCCACGGGGGTCTGCAGGCCTGCCCACAACTCCTCTCGTGCCCAATGGACGACTTTTCCCAAACAGGAAGCAGCTGCTTCCACTCCTGGATCCAGACAAGGCCACCAACATGGATGAAACATGAGCCTTCAGGGTTGGATCCTGAGTATAAACCAGGGCTGCGCTCGGAGGAGCTTTCTGGGGAGCTTCTCAGATGCTCCAGCACCACCCCTCAGGAGTCCCCCCTGAAGGCCCAGGACACCTCAACAGTACGGCTTCACGGCCAGGGATGGGAGCGATGGCGGCCTCTGGCGTTTATGGTCCCCGCCAACCTCTTCTTGGGCGACCGCGTGCTGCGGGAGTGAGAGGGGTCTGCTCGGTGTCCCATGTCACCACCTGCCGCCAATCCCTGGGAGCCCGCCCCAGGCTGCATCTCCCGGGGACGCGGTGGAGACGCTCACGATGCTGTCACTGCCAATGGGGACCCGTGCGTGGCCTTGGGCAGCAAGCAGGCAGGTAACGGGACATCCCGTGGCTCAGAAGGTCACTCTGGCGACAGGAAGCACACACTTGGGCTGCTGTGTGATCCAACTGAGGCAGTTTACTGACGGTTGATAAGAAAAGCCAGATTGCTCTTTGTTACATGTTGAGTTTTGTCCCCCCAGGAAGATATGCTGAAGTCCCAACTGCTGAGACCCGCAAATGTGACCTTATTTGGAAATAGGGTCTCTGCTGATGTCACTGAGTTACAGAGGGGGTCATACTGAATTAGAGCGGGCCTCATAAGAGGGAAAACCCCGGGCGAAGACAGGCCCTGGCAGGAAGCCTCAGGACTGTGTGGGGTCCCCAGATGCTGAAAGGAGGAAGCCCCTCTGGCCCCTTGATTCCAGACGTCCGGCCTCCAGAACTCTCAGAGAAGCCCCCCAGCAGTCGAAAATCCACACTTAACCTGTGACTCCCCAAAAGCTTGACTACGAGCCTACAGTCGACTAGAAGCCTTACCAGTAACACAGGCAGCCAATTAACACATGGTTTATATGTTATATGTACATTATTTGCTATATTCTTATAATAAGGTAAGCTGGAGGAAAGAAAACGTTATCAATAAGATCATAAGGAAGAGAAACTATGTTTACAGCACTGTCCTGGAAAACATCTGCGTCCGGAGGCCCCGGGCAGCTCAGACCCGCATTCGAGGCTTAGCGGTGTGCTTGCTGCCAGTGGCCTCCTCGGGGCTGAGCGTGCCCCTCCAACGGGCCTATACAAACCCAATTAAAGCAGATGGAAGGAAACCACAGTCGTCTCCTCATCCAAAGTCTTTTTCGAAAACTAGCTCTTCAGCAAGCCAAGCTCTTTCAAAGTCCCGCTAAGACCTGATCAAAGGAAAGCTGACCCATCCAAAATCGCAAAGGCCCAGGTCATATTCTCCACCAGGCGCCCGGTTCCTCCAGGCATAAAACATCTTCCTGTACTTAGATCTCTTGTGATGTGTCCCTTTCTACCTTGCATCATCCTTATCATGTGCTCACATCTTTCTCCCACTAGACTGGCATCTCCGAGAAGACCGGATGCTGGTCTGGACACCATTTCTACCCTCCACGGCAGCCAGGACCGTGACTTACTAGAGTGGTTGCTCGGCTGAAAACAACACACATGTTTAAAAGAGACCCTTTGACTATTTCTGTAAAAAGAGATAAAATGCTGTCAAAGGCATGCCTGGAAGAAGTTCTCCCAGGACCTGCTTAACGTCCAGAAAAGCTTTTTTATTTTTCCTTCTTTTAGCACATGAACTGTTTGCCTGGGTGATGGAGCTGCGGGTGCGTGAGGCAGACAGCTCTTCTCCGTGGGCGCCACACCCCCCTGCGATCCTGACCATACATGCGTTTCTGAGGTGGACTTATTTTTACAGGTTGAACAGAGATAATCCGAAGTCCGGCCATGAAGGGGCTGACTCACATTTTAAAATAATAAGGAGTCAATTAATGAGGTTTAGTAACACTTGCGTTTTTCTCCTTACAAGCTCACTGACGTCAGTCAGCTCTAATGTGGTCTGAAATAGATCCGAAAGGGGGAAACAGGTGTCTGCAACACCTTCTGCAGCCGAGACCCCACCCTAGGCCTCCCCGAACACCGTGTCCGCGCGCTGCAGCAAGCCTCCTGTGGTCACGGGCTCTGCGTCAAGCCACGGGGCACAGATGAGGAAACTTCTGCTATGTCTTCCGTGCACAACTCATAACGCGCCCACCTGACCTGCCGCTTAGCACACAAATGTGTCGGCGTGGGCCTCCCTCGGCCATGAAGTCATCCTCCTCGCTAGCCGTGTGATGTTGGGTGCCGGACACCCTGCGCCCAAACCAGTCCCACGGCCGCCATCCCACAGCCCGTAAACGGCAGCCTCGACCTCTGAAATCCCTTCCCACTGGGAGTAAAGGAGAAAGCATCTAAATAAGAAGTCCTTTCCGTGTCCCTGGAACCGGGTTTGAGTTTTCTTGGAAAGATGGCGCAGCTGGCCTAGCTGTCCAGCAGACTGGACAGCAGACTGGCTGGGTGCAAACACTGGGCCCTTAGGGTTTCCAGAGCCAGGCCACCCGCTTCCAGACCCGACTTCTTCATCCAGCCCCTGTGCAGTCACTACAGGCTATTCATCACAGGTGTTTGGACGTCTGGGAAGTTACCTGGACCCGAGGGAGTGTCGCCACTTAGAGCCATTGGCAGTCCCTCAGCCTTGCTCACCTTTCAGGTTAAATATGTGTGTCGTCTGCTTAGATGAAAGTGCCACGCTCAGGCTGCCACTTTCTTTTCAAGATGAGAACCTGATATCAACGCATCAGTCCAGCTGTGGGTCCCAGAGAATGAGGAGGGGGGTTGAGGGTGGATGAGGAGGAGAAGGTGGACAGGAAGGAGGGGAGGAGGGGGAGGGGAGGAGGGGGGGAGGGAAGGAGGGGAGGAGGGGGAGGGAGGAGGGAGGGAGGAGGGGGGGGGGGACAAGGGACCGGTAACTTAAAAGCAGAATAGCCAGGACGTTTCTGGCTGCGATCCATAATGTCAGTTGAAAAGAAACTCAGGGGGCGCCTGGGTGGCTCAGTCGTTGAGCGACTGCCTTCAGTTCAGGTCATGGTCCCAGGTCCTGGGATCGAGCCCCGCCTCGGGCTCCCTGCTCCGTGGGGAGCCTGCTTCTCCCTCTGTCCCTGCCCCTGCTCATGCTCTCTCTTGAGTGCTCTCTCTCTCTCAAATAAATAAATAAATCTTCAAAAAAAAAAGAAGAGAAAAAGACCCTCGGGATATATGTCTCTCAGCCAGGCCCGAGTCTGAAGGTTGCCAAGAGGGCATGTGTGCTCTCCGCTGCGCGCTCCCCGAGCAGAATCACGGACACCCCTGCAGATCAGGGCTTTCAAGCCCACCTTTAGGGGAGGTGGCATGATAGGTTTTCTTCTCTCTTTAAAGGTTTATGAGCTCGTGTATAGGGAGTCCAGTGAGACTAAATATCTGAAGTAAAATGTCCTGGAAAACCCAGGGCAAGTGGCTGAAGTATTTATGAACAGAAATAACAAATGAAGTTTTTCTTAAGAAATTAACTCTCCTTAATTCTTGTATTTCCTTTAATTTGACCCAACAACGTGCTTTAAAACCAACAATCCGTAAGCTAACAGGGCTCTGGAGTAGATGTCCCCCTTCCACAATTCCTTGATGCTCCAGAAACAGAAGACCCCTTCATGCACGAACCAGAGGGTGTCCTGGGGTGAAGACCAAGCACAATTCGTCACCAGCCTCACAGGGTAACAGGGCTTCGGGGACGGGCTCAGGCTCTTGGAGTCAGGTGTCTCAGGACGGCCAGAAGTCAGATTTCTGACCCGAGCCCTGGTGTGATGTGGTCTCCGAGGAACGGGGACGATGTGGCCCGGGAGGGCCCTGAAGCTTGGGGAGGCTCAGGCTGGCCCTAGGGTGCCTGCACATGACCAGGCCAGGCCGGGGCCTCTCTGGATGCTGGCTGGGCTCCTGTGGGATTGGACGGCAATGGCTCTAAGGTGTCCATCTGTGGGTGGAGCAGACTGGAGGTGGGGGCCGCCAGCTTCCCTCTCCTCTCCGCCAGATGTGGGCTTGGGCCGTGAGAGCAGGGCAGAGGTGCAGCAGACTCGGTCCTTGGCCGCGTCCGGGCCTCGGGGACCTGCTGTGTGTGCACTGCTCACTCAGGCTTTGTCAGACTCTTCCTCCAGGGTCCTCGTCTTGCCCTCACCCCGACCCCCAGGCGGAAAGTGCCGGGGAAGGACAACGTTTGCCTTCTTTGGCTCTCCCACAGAAGCTGGCTCTGAGTTTTTTCTTGACCACAGTAAGGACTGGGATCGATAAAAACACACTACTTAAACCCAGCCCATCACTTTTGGAGAAGAGAGTGCTTCGCCGGTGAAGCCTTCATAACAGAATACCTTCCGGAAGTGGAAGATGGAACTCGACGGGAGGGCTTTTTCTTGGTCAAACGTTGATAACGGCATCTGTGTTAGCACTGCCTGGGCACCGGCGGGACCCCCGCTGCCTGGGGCGGGCCCTCTGCCCTGGACTGTGGACTCCGCGCCCCGTCCCTGCTCGCTGGTCTCTGGTTCTGTCTGAAAGAGCTCATCTGTCAAGCAGGACGGGCCAGTGTGCTCTTGGCTGAGCCACCCTGTGGTGAACGGGGACGGTGACCAGTCTGCGTCCCATGGAGAACGTCCCAGTTCCTGGGGCGGAGGGGCTGCTGTGACCCACTTCTAGGGGCTTCATGTGCCTGGCTCTGCAGCTCATGTCTGTAAATAGTTCTCACGCACCCGAGCTCGGTCAACCGGGTCGCCTGAATTTCTGGTGGTGACACATCAAAGCGGCCACTGTGGAAAGCACACGGTTCTGCCAGCTTCCCCTAAAAATACAAGAGGAGGGACCCCTTGGGACCCTTGGGACCGGGTGGGGGGTGGGTCAGCGGGAGGAGCTCCACCACCGCTGTGCGAAGAGCAGGGACCCGTGGCAAGAATGGCAATGACTGGCCACGTCCCCAGGACGGCCCCTTCCTCCTGCTGCCCCAGGCCGCCCGCCCTCCCATCTCACAGAGAAGTTTCTTCTCCGCGAAAGCTGTCCTGACGCTCCTTCGAAACGGCTGGCGCAACACGGTTACGTCGTCAGGAACAACGGGTTTACCCTGGGAATGTCCACAGTCCCCGCAGAAGACTGCTTGCCTTGCGTTTCTGCGAACGGATGCGCCCAGGGGCCTCCCTAACACGGTGCCTTCTTCCTTCTCGGGGAGCGGGGGTAGTAAAAGCATCTGAGTTCTAGAGATCTGGGTTTAAAACATGCCCTGCCTCCAGCTGGCTGTGTGGATTCGGGAAGTCGTTTAGGGTACCCCAGGCATCAGCCTTCTGGTAGAACGGGGATCATGATATTCTCTCATTGTAGTAAAATATACATAAGATGTACCTTCTTGGCCATTTTTAAGTGCAGAGTTAAGTAGCATTAAGTAGACTCACGTTCCTGCGTAACCATCGCCACCATCCATCTCCAGAACGTTCCATCTTCCCAAACTGAAACTGTCCCCATTAAATACCAAGTCTGCTCCCCAGGCGCCTACCCTCTACTTACTGTCTCCCTGGATCTGACTCCCCACAGGCCACGTATGAGGGGACCCCAGGGGCTCAGTCTTGTCCTTGGTCATTAGGGGCATTGACTGAAGTTGCCACCTGAAGCGCCTGCCCAGGGTCTGGCATACAGTAAGTGCTCAGCGGGATTTCCCTCCCCTCCCGCTCCTTTCCTTGTGTTCACTTGGACTTCAATGCCCCCCTTTGCACATGTGCGTGTGCCTCTTTCTCTCAAAGTAGCCACGCGGGCCCCGTTACACAGATGCGGACGTCCTCCCAGATTAGAATATGTATTCCAGGCTCGGGGTCAAACCAGCGGACAGCTGACCTTCATCGCCTTCTCCTTTCCCTCCACCCCCAGCCCCAGCGTTCCCCTCCCCACGCGGCTCATCGACGACCAGAGCTTTTTGGTGCCTGTGGGCTGTCACAGGCTGGGGGACCAGGCGTTAGCTCCTTCCTGCAAGGTAATTTAGAAGTACTGGGGACCTCTGCATTCTGGACATGCTAGGCCCGGCTTGTGTCCCCCCTCGCTGACCTGCCCTGACCTTCACGGCCCCTCCCGCCCCCCACCCCCCTGCCCCCACCACCCAGCGGCCTCTCTCTGGATTCCCGCAGTGGCCATGTGTGTCTCAGTAGCAAAGTATTCGGTCTCAGTCAATGCTCATTTCTTAGCCACTCCAATGGGCGGAATAGTGTCTCCCAAGGGTCACGCACACCTGGAACCTGTGGACGTGACCTTCTTTGGAAATAGGGCCTCTGCAGGTGTGCTCAAGAGGAGGCTGCACTGGCCAGAATGGACCCCAAGTCTAATGACCAGTGGCTTTCTAAGAGGAGCGAAATTTGAACCCTATGGAAGGGTCACCACGAGGATGGAGCAGAAGCGGAAGTGTTGCGTCCATGAGCCAGGGGACCCCCAGCAGTGTTGGCCATGACCAGAAGCCGGAGACAGAGGCACGAGCAGGTTCTCCTGCGGAGCCCCCACGTAGAACCAGTCTTGCCCACGCCTGGGTCTCAGGCCGCCAGCCTCCAGCATTTCTGTGCTGCTTTGTAATGTTACGGCAGCCACGGAAAAGTTGTGCCCCCAGCCTTCCTCGAGACCACGGCGTCTTGCTCAAGTGCATTTGGAGGATACAGAGTTGAAGCAGTTTCTTTACGACAGACTTCTCAGCAGCTTCGACGTGTTTTCAGGTACGGTAATCACAGGAGCGCTAGCCCATTGCCTACAAAGCCTTCTTGTCCCGGGACACCTGCCACCATTTGGAGGGACACTAGTGGGTCCTGAGAAGTGTGACCAAGGCTGTGATCTTGCACTTGGTCATTTTTCTCACGTTGCTTCATTTAAAGATGGCTTCTTCCATTCCATGAACGTCAGACCTCCAGACACTCTGGAGAGCAACCTAGGGAACCCGCGCGGCCCCGTCTGTACGCGTGGCCACGTTGCTGGGGGTGGGTGGCTTGCCGTCCTAACAGGTGCTCCGTCCACCCGCGAGCCCCCGCGCTGGTTGCTCTCTCACCTCTGTCCTCCACGGGCTCTGCCTGTCAAAGTCCCCCTGCCAGGGCTTGGGGACAGTGGTGTGCCTGATGCATGGGGGAGTTCATGTGACTGTGCCACCTTCCGAAGCCCCTTCCCACTTAGCTCTGTGGCATGGCTGAGGCCTAAGGAGGATGCAGGGGAAGAAGGGGAGGCCCCTCGCTCTCCTGTTCTGCCCTCTGTGGCTTGTGCTCACACTGGCGCTCAGCGGCTGAGCCTCGGTCTGGGCGTCTGGGGCTATGCTGGACAAAGCAGACTAGCCTGGCCCTTAAAATGCATTACAGAGGATCTACAAGGAGGAGAAACTATAATTTGAGCACCATTTTTTACTTTCATAGGGAGAGAATAATAGATAAGGATTTGAACAGAATGTAATAAACATTAATTTCATTTCTTTGTACTTCATGAAATAAAATTGTAAAGTGGTTAAAAAAGTAAGGGTCTTTAAAGCATTCAATCTCTCGAAGGGAATTTTCATACTCAAGTTTTGAAAAACAAAAGATAATAAAAAACATCAAAGGACCCATATAAATTCTGAAATCAAGTAACCTTTGACGAGCAACACCTATAAACAAGTTCAAATTTACTGATTCGAATCCAAGGCATCACCCACTATTAATTTATCAAGATCTTATTTTCAGAAAAAATTTTAACTCAAGCAGACTCACCTGCCAGAAGTCAGCCACAGTGGCAGGCAGCGGTCCCTGGGTGGCGATGTAGGCGGGATTCCTAGGGTCGTGATCCATCTGCAGAGACAAGGTTATAGTAACAAAGATTATTAGCTAAGAGCAAGGAAATAACCAGGAAAGAGAACCCTGGCCAAAGAGGAGGTGAAGGCGGCATATCCCGTGCTGAATGCCAGCCACAGGGACACACGGGGTCGTACAAGTGGGAGAAGCAGGCTGGTCTTCCTTGCTGTCCCTCCTGATTCCAACAGTGCTTGGCTTTCAGCAGAGCCCCTGTGGCCCTGTGCCTGGAGCCTGGCTGATGCTGGAATGCTTCACGCCTGATATCACAGTAACAGGGACAGCACGAGCCACAGTGGAGACCCGTACCCCAGAGACCAGATGCCAAGAAATAAACAGGCTGGGCCAAGACAGGGTGGTGGGGGCACAAGGTGGGGTGCCAACATGGCGGTGTCTCCACGGATGCCAGCAGTTGTGCCACGGGCCAGCATGCGTGGCCTCCACCCCGGCCACGGGACTCCCCGCAGGCCACGTGCCAGCATGCATGGCCTCCACCCCACCCACGGGACTCCCCCCAGGCCACGTGCCAGCATGCATGGCCTCCACCCCACCCACGGGACTCCCCCGAGGCCACAGGCCACCCCCCAGGCCACCTGCCAGCATGCGTGGCCTCCACTCCAGGCCACAGGTCTCCCCCGAGGCCATGGGCCTCCCCCAGGCCACCTGCCCGCATGCATGGCCTCCACCCCAGCCACGGGACTCCCCCAAGGCCAAAGGACTCCCCCCAGGCCATCTGCCAGCATGTGTGGCCTCCACCCCAGCCACGGGACTCCCCCAAGGCCACGGGCCTCCCTCCAGGCCACTTGCCAGCATGCATGGCCTCCACCCCAGCCACGGGACTCCCCCGAGGCCACGCGCCTCCCCCCAGGTCACCTGCCAGCATGCATGGCCTCCACCCCAGACACGGGACTTCCCCGAGGCCACGGGCCTCCCCCCAGGGCATCTGCCAGCATGCGTGGCCTCCACCCCAGCCACGGGCCTCCCCCCAGGCCACCTGCCAGCATGCGTGGCCTCCATCCCAGGCCACGGGCCTCCCCCAGGCCACCAGCCAGCATGCATGGCCTCCACCCCAGCCATAAGCCTCGACCCTGGCCACCTGCCAGGGTGAGCTGCCTGCACACCCACCATAGGCCACGTGCAGGGTTCCAATCAACAAGCGCTTTGTGAGAACTGCAGATGTGGGCCTGGGAGAGGTGAAACCAGGGGGCCAGGCCCATGAGCCACCCTTCAGGATCCTGGAAGAATGAATGAACAAGTGCATCCTGCCTCCCCTAAGAGTTAGCTCCTCTCACGTGGGGCTTGTTCCTGTTACCCGGGAAGGGGCGCTGGCACCCCGGGTCATGCCAGGGGTCTGCGAGCATGATGTGCAGGCCCTCCCCAGGAGACAGGCCCAGGCTTCCAGCAGCTCGTTTCCAATTCTAGTCCTATGGCGCCAGGCAAGGGGCTGAAGACGGACAAACAGTAGAATTCGGTTATGGGTTTTCTGGCTGGTTGGTTTGTCCAAGCCTGCTGGCCTCAACAGAGGGGTCTGGCTTAAAATACCTTCATTATGACATTTAATTCAAAGACGTCTAAGCAGGAAAAAGAAGGGAGAAAGGGACCCAGACAACAAAGCCTAGAGAAGGAAATTGGGTGGAAATGCCGTGGACAACCCCTTCCCCTCACGGGACTTCCCTGTGTGCCGTGCACCCTGGACTGGACTGCAGAGACCACCCCAGGGGAACGGACAGGGCCTCGTGCTAGAGCCTCACCTTGGCGCTCACCTGTCACACGTACTCAGTCCCTGAATCTTTCCCATCTGGCGCTAGAATCTATTACTCTTTTGATACCAGGGTTTGACAAAAGATTTAAAATGTTCTGTGTTTAAAGACAGTTGTTAAGAATACATTTCCCAATGCAGTGAGAAAGGAGGTTTCAACCACACATGGTTCTATGGCAGCACATGAAGATGTCGGCTGTCCACCCCAGAGCCACCCTAATACGCAGCCCCGCGCTGGGTTTGAAGGACACCCCACGTGAGGCACGGTCTCCGGAGCACGGATTTAGTGATCCTTGCAGAGATGATGGTTGTCAGCATAAAAGGGTGCGTGACGCACTTATAATTACGTGCACCGCAGAAGAGCAGATGTAAATCATTCCCACAGAACAACAGCGGAATGCCGGCTGGGGTGGGGGGCAGGAGGAGGATGCTTTTTCTGCCTCCAATTTAGTGATTCCCAATTAAAACTGGACCTCGTTGTCAAATTCACCACAGCACACACAATATAGGTAAAATTACGTTACTCTCGCTGAAAGCCCCAATTAAAATGTTTCTGTAGAAAAGCTTAGCAGAAATAAGGAGTTTTGATTTTTCAAAATATGCATTTGTTGGAGGTGACTGCTATTTACAAAAACCCCGTCCCTTTCTAGCAAACAATTCTGAATAAAAAGTAAAACCCTACCTCCTTTTCAAATGTGGTTTTTTGACCAAAGCAATTTAGAGAGCACCAAATTTAAAAACCGTTAGTGTGTTCAAACTAGCACACTTGGTGGCTTTCAAACTGAGAAATCTATGATTAAAAGTAAAAACCTGAACAGGGCTTCAGGAGGGTAAACAAGGCAACCTACTGTGGTTGGTCTTGGTGGTCCGCTGTGGCCCGCTCCAGCCCAGGCAGGAGAGGGTGTGGACAAGGCCCACTACTCTCCCAGCCCCCTCGATGGTGGCCACGTGGCGGCCACCTGGGAGGCAGTAGATAGCATAATGACCACAGAGTGGCGAAATGTGTCATCCGTTTAACAATAATTCAAAGACAATTAGAATTATTTCATTCTGTGCACATTTTGTTGAACAGAAAATAATTCTGGGCAGAAGCACTTTGTATGTGTCTCACGGTTTTGTGCAATCTTTAACTGAAAAAGAGTAAAGCAAATATTTAACTAAATGAACAGAAGCTTTATATTTAAGATTTCCAGTGCAGGAGAAGTGTAATCAGAGGCAATCAAGTTTCTACTAACAGCACTTTTCCACCAGGAACTCTGGCCCACAGGCCCCTGGTGGACGTGGGTGTGCGTCTTCCTCTACCGCCCAGGGCGTGAGCATGGCGTGAGCACAGCGTCTGCAGCCTCCTGTGATCTGAGCTGCCACTCCCCCACCGCTCACCACTCTCCTGTTCTTTGTGGAGTGCTCTTTACTTGTTCACAAACACAGGCTCTGGGGCGGTGGAGGAAGTCAGCTCCTGGGTCTGGGCCTCGGCCAGTGTCTGAGATTGGGGTGGGCTGCGCACATGACCTCCACGTGCCTGTCAGCGCTGGGATTCCACGTGCGTATACGTGCGGACTCCTCTGTGCGTGCCTGTGGGAGTGTGTTGGCCGTAACCCTGAGGCTATCAGTCAAAGCCCGTGCGGTTCACGCCGTGCCCTCAGGTGGTCTTCTCCCTTGTATGCTGCGTAAGGCAGAAGGGCCCCACCATCAAACAGGACTTACTCCCAGTGACTGCCTAGCAAGCGAGGGCCATGGGGTGCCGGGTCCCAAGTACAACTAACACTACCATTTTGCTTTCACTAGGTCATTTTTTTTCCCCCCGAAAACTGTGTTGAATCCACTATGCACGTGGTTGGCAGGGTACGGGAAAGGTGTGTTCCTACAAATTTCTAAATGCACAGGCTCCACAAAGCAAACCTAGCCATCTGCTGTAAGCTGGGCAATGCCAATTATTAAATGGGTGTGAGTGGTTTTCAGAAACTCTAACGTGCATTAAAAACTCAGCAATAATTTCCCCAGTACTACGAGCAAAAGAGATGTTTAAACTCAAGTATTCGGCGTGTCAAGACCAGGGACCCACGTCCTGAAGCCTTGAAGAGTGCGAGGGTGGGGCCGGCAGGCTGCCTGCTGCGGTCCTGCCCGACTGCCTGGTCTTGACCATGACCTGGGGAGGGGTGCGGGGCCAGGCCTCTCACTCTGAAGTCTCAGAGAATAAACATGCACGTTTTCCTTCTCTATTCCTATCTGCCTGCCCCTGCATCTATTTTTTCCCCTAACATTTAGAGCAAATTTCACAGAATGTTTTATTCAAAACAAGCGAATATCAAGTCAGAGTTTTCAAGTCAATTTTCTAGACAGTCTTCATATGAGAATTTACTGAGAAACGGTAGCTTCCGTAATTGATATGAGAGAGGCTGACTTAGCTGAAGCTATTTTCATATTTTCTTCTTCTGAGTTAAGGTTTAAGTAAATTATAAAATATAATATACACACATAGATGCTTGCTTGTAAATATTTTCTGAGAACCCGAGAGTTGGCTCCCATATTTGGCCAATTTCTTATGATATTCAGGACATCTGACTGGTCACCCGATTTCCTGAGGAGTCCAGGTGCACCACTCACGTTAGTTAAATGCGTTCTGAATTAAAACGTTAAACAATTTCTTGTCCCTCAGTAAACAGTGGAATGAAGAGTAAGTTTAGTTTCAAGCATTGGGAATTTCGGACCCGTCCCTGGTAAAGACATGTGTGTGCTGTTTCGAGCACACCGTGTGTTAGGCGTGTTAACGACACGCCTCAGTCTGCACCCCTGGGAAGAGCTGGGCTGCACTCCTGGGTGGAGACCACAGGCTGCCCCTCACACACGCTGGGCGGGAGCACGGAATTCCCATTTACTTTCATGACCTCTGCTCTCAAAGCAAAGATTGCACATTATTTACTACCGGATGACTTCCCTGGAATTTAATGAGGACTAAGTACAAATATGACAGATGTAATTATCATAGTTTTATTCTGCACAGCCAGGGTCTTCTTGGGCTATAATTGTTAGTTTTTCATTCAAGTGCTGCTAGGAAGCTCATTATCACTGTACCTTCAGTCATTTCAGAAAGAAGAGATACCACGGTTCATTCTTACAACCCAAATGAGAAAAGGAGAATTGTGGCGTGAAATGAAGGGGAAACATAAAAGATGCCTTAAATCCCTCTCTCCCCTGGCATCGCCTCCTGACCCGAGCCCCAGCCCAGCGGGGTTGGGGTTGGGGGTGCCGTCCTGCGTTCCCCGCCGTGGAGGCGTGGCCGGATGGTGGGAGGTGCAGGAGCAGCTCAGGTGCCCCACCTCTGGGGCCCGTGGGAGCGCCAGCGTCGCTGGGTGGACTTCTGCACTGACATTTCACTTCAGCCAGAGACCACCAGCAGTGGGAAGTTGGAACCCATGAAATAAGGGGGAGTTGGGCACACCCCAACTGTGGACGCTCACTTTTAGGCTTGAAAATAACTGCTCTGCTTCTCTTCCTGGCCCTGTCCCATGGTTCATGCCCAGGACAAGGAGCCCAGCAGGAGGACATGGCTCTCCAGGCAGATCTGAGCTGCCGGCACCGTGGCCCACCGCGGGGGACACGTCCAGGCCCCTACCGCACCCCCTTCACCAGAACCCATGCTCTACCCACAGAAGGGGAGGCTGTACACCCACGAGGCTTTGGCTTGTTTCTAAATCAGAATTGACAGACAATACTAAGCCCAGCAGGGCACTTACTGACAAAGACAGAATGGCCCCAGATGAGAACCCGGAGAACACAGATGGGGCCAGTCCTTGAGGTCTACCTGTGCTGGCAGTAATGGAGCCACCCCTTAACAGTAACTGCAGGAGCCAAGGTCTGGGCTCAGGGGGTGTAGACGGAGCAGCCGACCAGCTCTTAACCCGCTTTCTCGCGGTGAGGTGGCTACACTGTCCTCCCGCTGTGCACCGTGAGGGCCAGGACACAGGCTCTGGCCCACGGCACACTGCATTCCCAAGAATAAGCTTGATATGCCAGGCGCCCCGGAAACAGAACCAGCAGCTACGAGAACATTCTAGCAGCAGCTCCTGCCGCTTGAAATCTGACAGTGAACCTTCTCAAGGGAGCCTGCTGCAGCCGGAATGCAAGGGGTCGTCAGGACGCCACTGGGTGCGTCCCGAATCCAGAGACGACCCACGGCCTCAGCAGCCACCCACAGATCACTGGCAAGCTCCCTGAGCTGGAATCCTACGCGCCCTGCTCTGCTCCATGCAAATCTGAGATTTTAGTCAGATATCCTGACGCTTCCCTGATGACCAATGTTGACGCACACAGTTCACGGGGGGAGGGGGAGGTGGGGCCACACCCAACCTCCCGCAGGAATCCCCACCGGCTCCCAAACTCTCCGCCATCAACCACACTGCTTAAAACTCTCATTCCGTGGACACTCGTTTTACTTGCTTCCCACTTAACGATCATTCTAACTTCATTCTGGAAAAGCCAGGCTGAGCATGGCTTAGTCTGACCTCTGACTCGTCACCCTCCGGCGTTCTGACTCCCCCGCCTGCCCGCTCTCCCATAGGGTTCACCGCCAGCTGTGGGCTGCAGGGGATTCTCTGGAAGCCGGAGGGCTGCGGGTCACGGGGGTCCCCCCCGGGGCTTTTGTTCTCAGGAAGCCCGGCCCCGGGAGGCACAGCCCTGCGCATGGCTCTCTGCTTGTCTTGAGGGGAAGGTCTGCCCTGGAAACAGCTCGGGGACCAGCCTGCACACACATCTGCCTCGGTGCCCTCCATCTTTTTAACAAGGGCAGGATTGGGGTCCAATTGTTTCCATTTCCCCTGAACAAATTAGGAACAAGTGGGTCTAGAAAGGAGGAACTCCACCAACCACAGATTTTCCTGAAAGTTATGGGTTCCAGTCAGTAAACCAGTGGCCGCTCTTGCTGGGCCCCTCAAGCCAGTGGACCCAGGACTGCTCCTGCCTGGTGAGGACCCAGCCCAGGCCAGCTGGTTGAGATGAGTCACCTGGTTAGGACTAATGACCTGGCTGAGACTAGTTGCCTGACTAATACTAATTACCTGGTTCACTAGTCATTTGGTTGAGACTAGTCGCCTGGTTGAAACTAACTACCTAATTGGCTAGTCACCCAGTGGAGACCAGTCGCCTGGTTGAGACGAACTATCTAGTTGGCTAGTCACCCGGTTGAGACAAAATACCTAGTTGGCTAGTCACCCAGTTGAGGTTAACCACCGGTTGAGACCAGTCACCTGGTTGAGACAAACTACCTAGTTGGCGAGCCACCCGGTTGAGGCTAACCACCCGGTCGAGACCAGCTGCCCGGGGGAGACAAACTACCTAGTTGGTGAGCCGCCCAGTCGAGACCAGCCGCCCGGTCAAGACCACGCGGGCTTGCGGCTGAGGACGGGCGGGGGCCCCGCCAGGATGTACTCACGATGGGGCTGGCATTGATGTAGTCCGAGTTGCTGTGACTGTTCTCGGATTTCAGCAGGATCCTGGAGTGATCGTCTGCAAGCAGAGGCATAAAGTTAGATCCGCACACAGGCCTGTGTCCCCAGGGGCTACACAGGGGAACAGCAGGTGCCGAATGCCCTTGGAGGGCTGCCCGCGGCCATGCTGCTGTCCCTCCTTGGGGCTCTGCGGAGGTCAGTTCATGTCACTTCCCCCTCCGTCCTCCATTCACGCTCCTTCGGCGGCAGGGCAGAGAAGCAGGGAGTGTGGGCAAATGACACTAGGTTTCCCCTGGCAGAACTGCGCTATTCTAAGGTCTTTCTTAGAGTCAAAATACCAGGGTCAGGTGTCCCTCCGCAGGATCTTCTTTGGGGTTTCCTTTCAGCTAGTGGACATATATGGCCGCATATAGCAGATACGTATCTATGTGAATATTCAGCTATCAGGCAACTATTTTTTTTTTATTTTTTTTAACTTTTTTTTAGACTTATTTATTTATTTGAGAGAGAGAATGAGAGAGAGAGAGAGCACATGACAGGGGGGAGGGTCAGAGGGAGAAGCAGACGCCCCGCTGAGCGGGGAGCCCGATGTGGGACTTGATCCCGGGACTCCAGGATCATGACCTGAGCCGAAGGCAGTTGCTTAACCGACTGAGCCACCCAGGCGCCCTCAGGCAACTCTTTTTATACACAATTTTGTGGTCTGGAAATGGTTCAGTTCTGGAGATAACAGGACTTTTTTTTAAATGGAGAGTAGAAGAAAAAGAAAATGTGGCCGAAGAAGGAAGAGGCATTGTGCAGGGGGGAGGCCTCAAACATGCACCAGGACTTGACGGATGTGGAAACCAGACGCATCTGTGGGGATTAGCGCCATGGGACTGTCAACGCTTAGTGTGCTTGATCCACGAGTTATTCTTCATTCTGGTTCTGGAATAACCACCCTCTTGTGTACAGTGACATCCCCCTGCCTGTCTTTGGGAACTTTCCAAGCTGGCCCTTGGAGGGACGTGGGGGAGGCAGTGCGGGGAGCGGGGCGGTGCCAGTTCCGACGACGGGTTACAGGCTCAGGGGACGCCCACGACAGTCCCTCCGTCCCCCCGCCTTCCCTGGGTGGGCAGCCACCTTCTCTGTCCTCTGCGAGGCGCAGCAGGGAACTGAAAGCCACCAAACATGGCAGCGTGCTCAACCCTGTTATCTTTGCTCCAGTTGATGCCTCTGGGTGCCACACACAACACCTATTTCTTTTCTTCTGAGACTCTGAAGACAAGCTGGCTGGAGCCTTGGAAGCCAGGGACGTGGGGGGCTGTAAATGTTTCACCCCGGCCCCTCATCCCAGCAGAGCATCCAATTCCAGGCTCCCAAACTTGAAAACAGCTCAGGCACTGGGGGCAGGAAAGCCTGGGGACTGTGCCATGGTTTGTGTTTCTTTCATTTCTCTAGGAGATTTTACTTAAATTTTTTTAAAGATTTTATTTATTTATTTGACAGAGAGAGACACAGCGAGAGCAGGAACACAAGCAGGGGGAGTGGGAGAGGGAGAAGCAGGCTTCCCGTGGAGCAGGGAGCCCGACGCGGGGCTCGATCCCAGGACCCTGGGATCATGACCTGAGCCGAAGGCAGACGCTTAACCATCTGAGCCACCCAGGTGCCCCTACTTAATTTTTTTTTTTTGACAACACCTCTGGGGCTTGGGAAACTTGGTGAGTCTACTGGACTGGACATCATCCCATCAGTCTTACTGAGGTATTGACGTTAGCTTTTTTCCAGTAGAGATAAGAGAGATGAGAAATATCGAGAGATGAGGAAGAGCCCATACGTTGCATGATATGCTTACATACGCATATGTCATCTGCACCCAAAGGTAGTGGAAATGCTCAGAAAGCATTTATGATGGTAGCAGCTGAGGCATCCTCCTATGGCGTGAATAATGATACAAAAATCCCATGTGCTCAATGGTGTTGAGTTCCTGAACAAATATATTCTTGAGACAGTGAAAATTGGCAGTGGCAGGGAATTGAAATAAAATATACCAGAAAAATTGGTCAACTCTGACATCCTAACACGCTACAAACGTTACTGTACAGAAGAAACTCAGGCGCCTGACTCCGTGCTGCTCCCACCTCCCTCGAAGCTGTGACCTGTACCTTGGAAACTTCTGCTCAGCCCTGCATGTAGGCACTCTAGTCACTGAAGGAATTTTGCTGACAGCTGAGACTCAGGCAAACCGCCCCTACCCGAGACCCACGTTTCCCCAAGGAGATACGGAAGTATGTACAGAAGTTGCTATGTCCAAGATTTATAGGACCATTGTGGGATTCCTATTCACACAGATCAGGCAACCAAGGACAAAGAAGTTTCACCGTCCTTCCCAGAGCCTTTTTGGCTCCTGGATGTCTATAGTCATCAGTCACCTTTGGACTCCAGCTCCCTCCCCTTCGCCTTCTTTCTCTCCCTCTTTTTTTAAAATTTAAATTCAATTAGCCAACATATAGTACGTCATTAGTTTCAGATGTAGTGTTCAATGATTTCATCAGTTGCATATAACACCCAGTGCTCATCACATCACGTGCCCTCCTTAAAGCCCATCACCCAGTTACCCCATCCCCCCCACGTCCCCTCCCGCAACCCTCAGTTTGTTTCCTATGATTAAGAGTCTCTCATGCTTTGTCTCCCTCTCTGATTTCTTCCCATTCAGTTTTCCCTCCCTTCCCCTATGGTCCTCTTTGCTATTCCTTATATTCCACATATGAGTGAAACCATTTGATAATTGTCTTTCTCTGATAGACTTATTTCGCTCAGCATAATCCCCTCCAGTTCCATCCATGTCAATGTAAATGGTAGGTATTCATCCTTTCTGGTGGCTGAGTGATATTCCATTGTGTATATGGACCACATCTTCTTTATGCATTCATCTGTTGAAGGGCATCTCGGCTCTTTCCACAGTTTGGTTATTGCAGACATTGCTGCTATGAACATTGGGGGACAGGTGCTCCTTCTTTTCACTACATCTGTATCTTTGGGGCAAATACCCAGGGGTGCAATTGCTGGGTGGTAGGGTAGCTCTATTTTTAACGTCTTGAGGAAACTCCATACTGTTTTCCAGAGTGGCTGTGCCAGCTTGCATTCCCTTCTCTCAACATAAAAGAAGCCTGCATTTGTGTGAGGCCAGTCGGTTCTTTAGGACGACAGGCTGCCATCTTGGTCTGTTGGCTTTCTGGATAAAGTTGCTTTCCTTACTCCAACACCAAGCCTATTGACTTACTAGCCTGTTGTGCAGCGAGCCGAAAGAGCTCAGACCTGGTTATACTACCCCCAAATGAAGTTCGAGAAGCCCAGTTCCACAGCAGGGTGCCTCATGAACACATCAAGCTGGAGGCTGTGATGTGTTGCTCAGAAGCAGGCGCCTTTTCTGAAGGACACACCAGGTCTACTGTTGCAGTCTACACAGAACTCTGGAATAAAAAAGCAGAGCTTCTGGCTGCTTCTAGAGGGTTCCAGAGGGCCTCCCAGGGGCCCTGCCCCATTAGAAATATGTTCACCACAGCCAACTTCAGGCACTGTTGAGAGTGGCAATGGGGACCCCCCCTGACTGTCAAGAGAAATTTGTACAAAGAGCAGGGTCACTGGTGAAGGGATGGGAGGGGTCCGGGGAGGAAGAGCTGCAGCCACCAATCTCTGGCCTCAGAGGGCATGCTGTGAAGGCACCACACGTCACCCAGCTGGACAGGGGCAGGCTTGGGGACTGCTGGGCACCCTTCACCTCCAAGGGGACGGCACTGCCCTGCCCTGCGAGCAACCAGCCCAGTGAACAAGCACCAGCTGGATTTTCGAGTCAGAAAATTAAGAAAACAGTTCACAAATGTGAGAGTCTTGATGAAATAAAAATGCAATCTGGCATTTTTGTTCGGCACTCAGAGCTTGGCACTCTGATGGCTGAGGGGACAATCTGTTTGGAGCCTGTGCCCGGTGGTGAGGACAGACTGTGCTCTGTCAGGCTCCCCATGAAGCGCTGTTTCCACCATGCTCACTTCCTGCAGGCCACCCTTTTAAAGCCACCATTGAGTCTGGGACAAGGGCTTCAAAAGCTTCAGAGTTCTGCTGCCTTCCCATCACATACTTGATTTTGCAGCAACACGCTGATTTCAAAATTAACAGTGAACTTGTTTTGTTTTTAATATTGGGCCATCTGAAGCTCCATCTGAAACACTTAGAGCCACCCCGGAAGGGTTGGAGCACAGTGCGGGGACACGTCACAGGGATGGCTCAGGGGGTATTTCGATGGGTTGGGCAAATCTCAACTATCTTGTGGTTCACTTTTCCTGTTCATCTTTTTAAAACAGCTGATATGGGAGCCAGTGAGCTGCCATCAAGCTGAGTCTGGCTGCCTTTATTCTTTGTGTGGTCTGGCGGCATGACAGATTCACTGGAGGTCACTTGAGCAAGCTGGAGGTGAGCCCAGGGCGGACTCATGAGCAAACCCTCCTCTCCCTCGCCTGTGCTGCACTGACTGAGCATGGCCAGTGTGAACACACACACCTGCCTGGAGCAGACACAATGGCCCCAACTACGCAGCAAGGATTTGTAGCCACCTGGGTGCTTGCCCTTCAGTTGAGAAGGGCGTGTGTCCTTTAGGGTCTTCGAGACCTCACTCGGGAGCCAGGAGATGGAAACTCAGTGTCTTCCTGTCTGTATTTGACCCTAAGATGGAGTTATTTTCTCTCATGAGATCCACAACAGTGAGCTTTATCAGGGAGTGGAGGAGAAAGACACCTGCCAAGAAGAAACTTGTTGAATTATGCTGCTGTGTGGGGCACATTCCTTCTCTCAACTCCTTGTTCAAAAGTGATGTTCCAAGCTTCTCCAGCATTCTCTCTGCTCCAAGAGTAGTTTTACACATATTACCTTTCTTCTTCTGGGAACACGGTGCCATAGGTAGAATGGGGTCTGTGTCCCCATTTTAGATTGAAATGATTTTCATAAATGCCAAAAGTTCTAGAATTTCTTCTTGATTATTAGTGGGACAAAGAGCACGTGAAGACAGCCCAGGGTACGTCTGGA